AGATTCACGATAAAGTTTCCACGAGAGGATTTTTCCACAAATGTCCATGCCATACTGTCGAGCACTGGCAGCGGCACACGCCATGACCTACCCGCCGAAGAGGGAGAGTCCATGGGTATACAGTTGTCGTCAACAGTCCACGCATGGACGGGAACACCCAACGAACAGGCCGTCGCACACATGCGGCGACAGCCCATTCGCGAGGACAGAGACTGTCCTCCGAAGGGAGGCGGGTGCTTGTATACAAGTTGAGCCAGGGACCATTACGGTCTGTCAGAGAACCCCAACCATCTGCTCCAGACAAGAGCAGAGACCGGGAGAACTCAATATCTGTTGGCATCTTCCGCACTCGGCAACCTCTAAAAAGAGTGCCACTGGCGACGGGGTTACGCGAACGTTCCCTGCAGTACAAGTCCGCGTGTCGGTATCTCGACGGCAACGTATTCGGTCGGACGGAAGGATGGGCGGATGGACGTAAACGAGCGGGCTGTATCCAGACGGCGGAGGTAAACTCTCGCTCAGTGGACGGATCCGAAGGAAGCAGGCGTACCTGAAGGCGCGGGCGTACCCGAAAGTAAGATGTAACATCGGGGCTCAAAGGCGGGACTCGGAAAGGCAGCAGCCGGGAAGATGAAGGAGGCAGCAGCAGAAGAAGACGAGATGATGAGAAGGATGGAAGGAAGTGCTTCCACCTTCTCCCCCGTCCCCTGTCCACCGCCTCCCTGACCTTCCCATTTGCACAATGGCCAAGACATCGGGGGGACATGCGGTAGAGGGTGCCTGGGAGCAATATTGCCATGGACCATGCGGTCTATCGGAGGCTTCTGCGAGGAAGCCTCCATATCGCAGGCATCTTCCACGCTCGCCTCCCTGAACAGGGTGACACTGGTGGCGGGGATACGGCGAACCGTTTCCCTTGCTGACAGGTTCTCATCGCGAAGCATTTTTTGGCGGGCAGGTGAAGGAAGCAGCAAGAAGAGGGTTGGATGAGACCGTGTTTCCACTTTCTCCCCAACCTTGTCCCTGCTGCCTGCTCCACCCACCCTGTGAGGAAAGGATACTCTACCTGAAACCAGTAAGGCGAGCGAATCGGTAGGGGAGCCAAACTCGAGCCAACAGGAACGGAAGGAGGACAAGGAGCAAACCAGTCTCAAACCCGGGAACACAAAATGAGGTAGACCAAAAGTACTCCGAAGAGTTTGACACAAAAGCGCGAAGCAAGCCATGGCTGTCCGTGAAGGGACAGCTTAGGTGCAATCGCAGTAGTACACCCTCCCGTCATGCTAGTCTGGGACGTGGGTAGATGCGAGGACGCAGAAGAAGAGGGAGCCAGAAGAAGGCGGAGAGGGGGTGTTTCCACCTGCTCCCCACCTCCTCGCAGCCGCCTCCCCTCCACCTCCCCCACCCACCCATATCCCAGACCAGCTTACGGTTGAGGGCGACTCGGCCATAACATGCTTCTCATGTTTAGGCCTGAAGAGAGGAAGTGACTGTAGCCAAAAGAATGCCATGGACCGTGAGGTCTGTCGGAGACTTCCAAGGAAGTATCGATATCGCAGGCTTCTTCCACACTCGTACATCTGAAAAGACGACACTGGCGGCGGGGAATACTCCCTTTGACTAACAGACTCCTCTGTCCGTGTGACACCAAAGGTGATAGTAATCGCGGTCGACTGCAGTCGCCGTAAACATGCCGGAGCAGAAGCTGCGCGCCTCAGCTCATCAGGAGCTTACCAACCGGTACCTCGACAATCTCTGTAAGGTTACTCATGCCCTGCCAGCAACAAGGAGGACCTGTCATCGGTTGTCCTCGTCGACAACGCGCACAAGAAACAGTAAGAGAAGCCTTGACTTCCTACATATGCTTGGACTGCCGTGAGGAGGACGCATGCGCTCGCGTCAATGAACCATGGACGGTTGACGTCTGTTGTAGCGCGAACGCTCCTATCTGTTGGTATCTTCCACACGCGACAACCTGAGAAGGCGACACCGGTGGCGGGGAGTACTCCCTGGCGTGAGGTTGTGCGTCCCCCTCATGGCCGTCTGTCCGCTACACCAATGGTGTTTGCAAGACTCGTAGGACTCGGAGGAGGGAGTGGAGAAGGAGGAACTCATCGCGCGGCATCGATCGTGGTGTCGACTGGCAACTGCGGTCGATGGTGCGGCGATGTGGTCGGGATGGCATGAGATGGCGTAATAAAAAGGTGGAAGCAAGCGCCGCTCGACGAAAAAAAGTGATGCATGGAGGAAAAGAAGTGTGAGAATCCCTCAGACGGTGAAGTGAGGGTAACAAGGCCAGGAAACTGTTGCTGGAAGGAAGGTGTGTCACGTATCGAGGTGTGTATGTGTGCCTGTGGTGGTTGCCTGGCACGACGCTAGACACCAGTAAATAGCACCACGTATCAATCATAAAAGGAGAAAATGGGGAATACCAAGCTACTCTGTGTAGAGAATGTGCGGAAAGCCAACCATGGTACCGATGCCACATCCGGCGTAGGACGACCCGTTTCAGGGCCAGACGAACAGTGTTGCTAGAACTGAGCTGTGAGCATGGCCAGTCTCCGTAGTACTTCTCGTATCACCGTGAAGCTCGGAGGCCATGTAGTCGCAAAGCTAGGCGTGTTCGTCCTTGGAAGCCGTTGGCCGGATAGTGGTGGAGTACATCATGACTGTCTCGGCCTATAGTCTCGTTTCGAATTTACCTAGGTGAAGGGACGGTTGAACCGGACAAGCTCATTCGACGAATTCCAGGAAATCCGGTGTAGCACAAGTCCGGCCGGTGGTCCGCTCGTCGAAAACTAATCGCTATCTCCTAGAAGCTCAGCGAGCTCCGCTTCTTCTTCCGCTGTCATCATGCCCTCTTTGCGCTCGGGTTCCTTGTCCTCTTCCTTACCGAGACGCTCGTCTTCGGCCTCTTGGATGGCCTTGGCAAGCTCTTGAGGCTTGAGGCTCCACTGTCTGACTGTAGCGTCAATGCTCACGCTAATCACGCGTTGGCCTAGCAGAAGAAGGCCAGTGACCTCTTCAAAATGCCCACTGAAAGTATGATGCAGCTTGCCGCTGCTCTTGTCCCATACGCGAACCTCTTCGTCTCTGCATACGGAAACCAGCCAACCGCCATCCTCGTCGATGGCAACATCGCGAACGAAATCAGGATGTTCGAATGTCGAATCCTCTGCCCACTCACGGCCTCTGGAGAGACACTTGGCCGTCTTGTCTGCTGAAGCTGTCCATAGATCGCCGTCTGAATCGAAGTGTAGGGCATCGATGCTTGTCTCGTGGGCGATGATGGGCGACGGTTCGACCTCAGAGGCTGACGTCAACCCGATGGACCACCGTCTGATCTCTCGGTCGCTTCCAGCGCTGAAGACTGTAGCAGTCTCTTTGCTGGGCTCGTAGTCGGCCGGGTCTAGCGCAAGAGCGAGAATCCCTCGTGTGTGTCCCTTCAGTGTATGTAGCTTCGAGCCCGTGGCGACGTCCCAAACGATGATGCTGGCATCCTGTGAAGCCGACACCAAGACCTCTTTGCCGTGTAGCGTGAATGCTATGACGGCCTTGACGAAGTCACTATGGCCTTGGAAGCGCTTGGCGGGCTTGCGCGTAGAGAGGGTCCATGACCAGATCGACTTGTCCCAACACCCTGCAAACAGCGTGTCGGATTTTGGGGAAACGGCAACGGACGTGAGAGGGGCTACGGGCCCTGTGAAGGTGGCAGCGACCTTATTAGTCTACAAGGGGAGCTGTCAGCGATGACCTCATAGCTGAAGTGAAGCCACGAGGCGGCTGAGAAACGGAGGTCTGACCGACTTCAATGTTGATGCGCTTCACGTTGCCGGCTGCTTCGGCAACGTAGATGTGATTCTCATCGTGCGGGTCCGCGGTGAGTGCGAGGATCTTGGAGGGGAGCTTGAGGGGGTTGCCCTTGGTGTTCTTGGACTTGGCAGCCTTGCGAGCTGTCTCCTCGAGAGAGGAGCTACATGCTATCAGCTAAAGTAAAGGAAGATGGATGAAGATGGATGGAAGCCCATACGTCGTCTGGAAGTAGTGACCTGGATCGTTGGAGCGCGACATGATATAGGGTGGGAGGAGCGGTGACCGCCGGCAGGATTGTGTGACGGGCAGTGGGTCACGTTGGGCGTGTGACCAGCGACCCCGCTATTATGACTCCGTCCGTGGGCCGAAAGAAGCCTCCAGTAGCGGCCACATCACCGAGCTACCTCATGCAAGGGCGGAACTAAGCAGGTGGGAGTACACGTTGATATCGAGACGAAACTCGACACAGTTACAACGCATTGTAGATTCTTACGACTCTGACTATGCTCAAGGCAGCACCTGGGCAGCATTTCTGTCTCTAACACGTGATCGCTCGAGCTCATTGTTGAGATGGAACCGAAAACACTGTACCGAAATCGAGGGAAGGAAGCTACTCGAAACTTGGATATTCAATAGACCCCTAGGGCGTTTATTCTGGGCGGATGGTTAATTCATGCCCCTGAATGGATGACGTAGCCTTCCCAGCTTCTATCAGACCAGTCTCATCACCAAGAAGCACACAAGGACATTGATAACATAATAGATTTCATTTCGTCTCGTAGCGAGCAAGGATATAGTATTAGATGCTCTCGTATGTACTGAAGACAATACCCAAAAACGCCGTAGATCATAAACAAAGGAAATCGTGTATAGTCATGTATGTGTCGTGTGTGAGTCGAGCAGCGAAGCTCTTTCTGTAAAAGCATGTGTAATGCAATCGTAAAGGTCGTTAAATGCGTTGTTCGTAAGAGTGAGGCGGTTATCCAAAACACGCCCATCATAACACTCAAGGGGGGGATATCTCAAAAAGACATTCCAAGGCACGTCTCATTACTTTTGTGGATCATAGTCCAGCAAAATGCGCCGAAAGACCAAATCATCTGCGATGCAATCATAAAATCGTGAGCGTGAGTATGGGTGTGCGTGCACATATAGTACAAAGTCGTGGTTTCGTGGTGTCGTGGTCGTTAAAAGGTTGGGTGGCCAGCAGAGGCACTGGCGGCGAAGTCGCGGATCGCCCATCGCCAGCCGCCTCGGTGTTCGCCGTTATCGCGAAGGCCGCCGACCCAGCCTTCGACGCGTCGTCGCCAGATGGCTTCTTCGTCTTTCTGTCGCCGGATAAAGCCAGGGCCGACATCGAACTCCTCGCCCACAAAGGTTGGATCATCGGGGTTCGGTGTGCCGGTACCGCCCATGCCATTGCCACCGGCGACACTCTCGTTGTCTTTGAGGTCGTCGAGGCCAGCAAATGGGTCTTCGTCTTCGTCTACTTCTGAAGGCGATCCAATGTCGTTTGATGGTCGAGGCGCCTTGAGCCAGGTCATCTTGACAGGATCGAACACCATTCGGCCTTCGTACTGGACTTGGCGTGGTACAGAGATTTGGGAGATCAAAGCAGGGCGTGGTGGAGACGGTACTGGGGCGGGCGCTGGGGGCTGGGCCAACTTGGCCGCTCGCGACGAGAAGCTCCTCTTTTCTTGGCCGGCATGAATGGACGAAAGGGCAATGTGCGAGATCGATTGTGAACGATCATGGCTGCGACTCATCTGGTTTCCGGGCGGGGCAAAGGTAGGCGTGCTCGCCGTGGTCAGGGCGAGGGTCGTAGTGGAAGTATTAGGGTGTGAGAACGAAACAAGGGCTTCCTCGTTTCCTTCCCAACGTTGCAAAGTTGGGTTGTAAATCATACCTTTCTCGTCTACATAGTGGTCAGTAGGAGCTGGATAGTAGTGGTGGGGTGTTGTACTTTGTGTGTAGGGCTGCGTCATCTGCCTGATCAACTGCGGCTTCTGTCCTGAGCCTTTCTTCCTGTGAGCAGATGGACTGGTATGAGGGCTACGAGCGGCCACTTGGGCAGCCCAGCTAACGGGCCTGGAGGAAATGGGACCTTCTGCTCGAGACCTCGTACCTGCCAAGCGCTGCTCACGTGCGTTCCTACTTGCTGCGGTGTCGCGAGCAAAGCGAGGAGTGTGGTCCATCTTGGGAGGACTACGCGGAGTCTGGGGCAGAGGCGTCGCCATGCGATCAGGCATCGGCAGACGTGAGTTGCTCGGCTGGTGGCGCAGCGACTTGTTGCTGGCGACATTGCGCGGCACCTTTTCGAATTGCTTCTCTTTGGAAGCTGAAGTGGGCAAGTCATCGAACAGGTCGAGCTCATGGCCGTCGCCAAAGTTTCGCTTGCGCTGAGGCTGTGTCAGCTTCTTTGGGGGTGGATGACGTGCAAGGGCAGAGGGAGCCTGATCACGTCTCACCCCAGCACGACTAGGCGTCTCGTTGTGGCCACCACCAGACAGGCGCGAGTAGGAGCGCATCGAGGGAGACTGCGGTCGGCGAGGGTCAGAGTCGCGGCGAAGGTGGGCTTGCGAAGTGCTCTTGGACATGACGTGGTGCGATTGGGAAGAGGCCCCGCCAGCAGGGAGGAATGGCATGCGTGGTGGCTGACTGGTGTTGTTGTTGCGGAGGACGGGAGCAGAGCGCTTCGCGCGGAGCAGCTGTGCGCTGGTAGTAGTAGGCATGGTCCGAGTCGAGTTGGAAGTGGACGCGCCGCTTTCGTACACAGGGGTTAGCCTGGTCCGACTCGCGATGGATGGCAGGGGCCTGGGTATCCGCGAGGTAGTGGGTCTGTCGGTGAAGGTGATGGTAGTAGCGGGACGAGCAGCGTGTGGGGCGGTGGTCTTGGTCGCGGGCTTCTTGACGACAATGTTCTTGTTGAGCGTCAGCTTCTGGCGGTCCAGGATCTCGCCATTGCCGAAGTCGAAGCCATCCTCGAAGTCCTCCTCTTGGACCACGGGCTTGGCTTTGGGCGATGGTGCCAGTGCCTTGGGGCTCATAGGCGTGGGGCTGCTGAAAGGGGAAGGAGATAGTGGTGCAGCGATGGGCGATTGGGGCGGCGATTGGAACGGCCTCTGGGTAGGGATCGACGTGGTTTGTGTGGGTTGCGTCGGCGTGAGGGACTGCTCGCGCAATGGCAGCGGTGGAAGGAGCGATGGCTCTGCGGCTGGTGGTGCTGGTGGTTGCTCGGCCTTCTTGAGCTTGTCCAGACGCGCGCTGAAGTCCATGGGCTCGGTCGGCAGCACGAGGCCGCCCAGGTCGTCGTCTTCGCTCTCCATGGTCATGATGCTGCCCAGGCTGGGGCTCATGGCGGACACGGACGAGCTGCGTGCGCCGCGGGTGCCCTGTCGCGTGCCTGCGAAGCGGATGCCGAGCGAGCCCTCGCCCCAGTCGAAGTCATCGTCCTCTTCCGCCGGCGTGCGTGGCTTGGGCGCCTTCAGCTTCAGTCCTTCCTTCGCATTGGTGGGCAGCTCGAGGTCGTTGCCCCAGTCGTCGTCGACCTCGATCTTCTTGGTCGACTTCTTCTTGCCCAGCCTCTTGATTGAGCCGCCGAGGAGCGCCGACGATGGCACGCTCGTGGGGATGGGGATGCCGGCCTGCTTCGCGGCGGTCTTGATGGCGGAGGTGTTGGTTGCTTGGTCGCCTGGCGTGATCAGGATCTGCCAGTCGTCATTGGATTCGGTCTCGGAGCGGACGCTCATGCGCGAAGAGAGTGAATGGACGGTCGAGTTCTTGAACAGGAGGCCGTCGGAGCGGTCGTCGAAGTCGCCGTCGTCCCATGTCTCCATCTGGGTCGACTGCGAGGTGATGGAGGCGATGCGCGCCGCGAAGGAGCGGTTGTTGGCCGCCATGCTCGGTGGAGCTGTCGCGCGGATATCGCAGGTGCGGTGTAAGGTGGGTGTGCAGGATCTTCGCGCGAGGTACTGAGGTGGTTGGGCTGTGGGCCTTGGAGGGTCGTCTGGCACCGCTTGCAGGTTCCTGCAGGGCTACGCGAAGCACAAAGGCGGTAAGTAGACAAAGGCCGGTCTGCAGGCTGGCCCGCACGCTAGGCCACGCGTGTCGGTACGAATAACACACTCGGCACCCCTGCAGCAAGGGCGACGATGACGGCGATGAGTCTGGAAGTACAGCTGTCGTGGGAGCCTACATATGCAGGAACAATGCAACCAGAGACTGCCTATGTATATACCACGCCACACACCGCGCCCTGTATAGCACCCATGTTTGTTTCTGCCCCCCATCAGCGCGACTGGTGCGGATCGCGCTCGATTCGCGTCCCGGGCGGATGCCTGGACATCAACAAACACTAACCTTCAGTGGTCCTTCACACCAGCGGGTGCTGCCTGCGACGGCACCACCCACCTGGGCACCACCACCACGCAAGTGACATTACTATCTACATACAAATATAACCTCCCGTGCCTGCCGTCTCAGGTAGACGTGGTTCAGGTTACGGTTTCAATAGATTCCCTACCACGTGAAACGCCCGGTACCTGTTCCTGGCCGCTCTCACTATCGCGACTAGCCTCCCTGGCCACACCATCACAAACCTTCCCACTTGGGCTCCCTCCCGCAGTCCCGCCTAGCTTGTGCACACCATCGCCGCGATGTCGAGCCGCTATATTTTGCCAGTCGAGCCTGCGGACAGCCGCGGCGAGACCGTCGTCATCGAAGTGTTGCAGCAGGGCAGCCACCCGCTGGATGTCAGACTGGTGGGCTGCGAGGGCGAAACCCCATATGTGACTTCGAGTAAGACAGCAGCCACAGCACGTCTGTGTTTCGCCATCTGACGCGCCCCAGTCACGCACCGCAATCTCGCCAGTCTCAAGCACAAATTCAAGGGCAGCCACGATGAGTGGGCCGCCGTTGTGTCTCATTTTCTGCTCCAGCAACAGCCCGAAATCGGCCAGACCGACATCTTGGACGGTGTTCGCATGGTCTACACGCTGAAAAACAAGAACCTAGAACTTTCTTTTCGCCAGGACGTTGGGAACATCAAGGTGGGTAGCATTGTGCTCTCCAAGATAAATTCATCTGATGTGTGTAGGTCACGTTGGGTGAGATTGTCCTTCCAGAAGGCGATGAGTTTGAGTTCAACCCGTTTGAGTGGGCGCAGGCATCAGCCATGGCGCACGCCAAAACGTTGCAGCAGGTGGTCAACTTGAACGACCAAGTCAAGAGCGAGCAGCACACCCTCGCCAAACTCAACGCGCAACTAGATGACTTCATCAAAACTAAGAATGACACCGAGACGGCCATGCTCCAGCAATTCGTGCAATTGCTAAACGAGAAGAAGCGGAAAATCCGGGACCAGAGTCGTCTGCTAGCTGGCGCAAAAGTCGACAAGCCCACAGGTTAGTAGGTGTCGTTGTGACGTAGTCTTATATTGACAATATCTAGCGGCGGCGGTTCAGTCGACCCGAGCAGACACCAAGACTCGCAAACCAGGGGCATCACGAACATCGAAGCGTAAAGCTCCAGCACAAGCAGCAGAGCCAGAGGCAACTCCAGACGCAGACAGCGACCAGATGGAAATCGATCAGGCCAAGGTCGAAGAGCAGGATGACGAGGAAATGCCCGAACCCATGACCCCAGAGCACTCCGACAATGAAACAGACGAAGAGGATGAACCTGCACCACACCCCAGAGGCAGGTCATCCGAGACGCTGAGAGCAAGTTCTGTTGCACAGAGTTCCAAAAGTGAAGCCACGGCAAGCAAGGGTGTACCACCACCTCGAGCACTTCCCTTCCAGAAGAGAACGACGCGAAGTGAAACTGTACAGAAACAGCCCTCTCCAGCTGCAGCAACAGCGGCGGACGACGACGACGATGACGAGACGGACGACGAAGAATTGTAGGACGGAAGCTGACTGTGTTTCACTGCATTAGTTTGGGTGAAACCATCTCTACCAAACTCCTCGAAATCCGCCGCGTGGCTCCCGTGTTCCTTTTGGCAAGACTTCGGGAGACGACCTGCATCGAGAAACTCTAATTAATGCCATGAAGTACATTTGGTTCGGAAATCAGACTTTGGAATAATCGCCGACACGTGCTTCCTTCTGCCGGTGGTGCAGGTGATGGTGTGAAACTGGATCTGCAACCTCCTTAGTCCAAACATCAATAGTACTAATTTTGACAGAATGCGCGACGTGAAATCTGTCATGACTGTGAGGAGTAAGACATGGCTGGACCCTTTGTAGGTTGTCCCGGTAGCAGCCCGGTGGTCATATATGTGGTGCGATGGACACATGGATGCGTTGAGTCGGATCGCGTTGATGTCATCCTTGCCGATCATTCGGGATCACTGAATAACAGGGACGTCCCGAGCAGCCGTGTGGAAACAAATCAACGCTTGAAGTGAATAAGACTCGAGTTCCCGCGTGATGAATGCGATGGAAGAATGCTGCCCAAGTTAGATTGTAGTCCAGACGATCTCTGTATTCTAGTGATGTGGTGCCTTCGGAGCAAAGAGCAGCCAATGGACGATGCAGGCCTCTCCGGCGGCAGCCAGGGCTGAAGCGCGCGGGAGAAGCCTCCCGCCAAGCCATGTCCACCTCGACATGTCGCCCTTGACCGCAGCGCTGTCGCAAACACGAGATTGCCGATTTTCTGGCCTCACGCACCGAGTCGCTGCGCCATCATAGACACGGCGCGCGAGCGATGTCCCATTCCTGCCCGAGCGACCAGAGGTAGCAGCGCCAGCAGTCTGGGTGAGTGAGAGAGGAGAGCCCGCGTATCCACATGCGCGCTCACGTGGGTCTATTGTACTGACGACATGTGAAGAGAAAGCGATTGTCGCCCTGCTATTGTCCACGCGCGTTCCGACTCGATTCCGCCCTCACACCGCGTCCACGGCGCTGCCATCACCCCGTCCCCGCTCGAGCGCCTCACCTAATGCTCCTCCACCTCCACACGTCGTTCCACTGCACCTACCGCCGTCGGCCCGCGACACCGCTGCTCTACGCGACCGACTGCACGCCCGAGACCCCGAGGTAACACGCCATGTCGGGCCCAGACCAACCTGAGCCCATCGTGGATACGACGCGATCCCTCAAGCGCAAGCAGCTTTCCGCCGATGACCAAGGCGAGCTCGACGCCCTCGACAGCGTCTTCAAGCGCATAAAGACGGCGGTCCCGCGCACACCATATATACTTTCCACGCCATCCTTACATCCGTACCGGTACTACTCACAACAACAAGCCAACGCCTGGAAACTGGGAAGGCTATTCAAGTCGGAGGAGGAGCACCTGCAGTACAGGACATATCTATACCGGGAGCCGTGTCAGGATTGCTTCGAGTTGCAGGCGGGAGAAGACGACGAGCCCGAGCCTGAACCGCCACGCTCACAGGCCGCGAATGGCCAGCCAGCGAAGAAGAAGCCCAACCTCTCAGCCTTCAAGGTCAAGCAGGCGAACGGTCCCAACACTCCCAGCGTCAAGATCAGCTCGCCCAGTTCTGCGCCGGATAAGAAACAGGCGAATGGGGCCAGCAAGTCTGAAAAACTGTCTGCGCCGTCCCAAAAGACTGAGCCCAAGTCGCCGAAGCCGTGGGTACGCCGCTCTGTACTTTGTTCAACTACTGACAGTAGCAGATCCTCTGGTGCTACACGCGACGAGCATCCCATCCGGAAAGCCGACAGAGGCGCCCCTTCTTCAAATCGGCCGCGAGCCCCTTCCACAACCAAGAGCGAGACAACCAGTTCCAAGGGCAAGATTGAAAAGTCGGACCCTTCCAACTCAACACCACACGGCCTACCTCCGCTGCTTTCGCCAGTACACGAGCCAATGGGCAACCCATACGGCCTCCCGAATATCTTATCTCCAACCCTCCCATCCAACATACAGGCCGAGCTCGACAGAATGGAAGTACAGCGGAAGCGCACAGATTCCGACGCATCTGTGTCATCATCAGATCGCAAAAGTCAAACACTTGCTGTGCCACCTAGTGGATCTCAACAGTCCAACGGTACACCAAAGTCAGAGAACCGAGCGCGCTCAGTTTCCATCAACGGCAACGGCAAATCGCCCAACCCCGAACCAGTCAGTCAAGCCGAACAAACAGATTCTAGTATGGTAGTTAAGCTGAAATTCTCAAAGACCAAGGCGCCTGTCGTTGGCCAGATTCTCCGCCTACCATCGAAACGAGCGAATGCCGAGAAGAAGGAGCGCAACGATACCTCCAAGGCGGCACCTATGGCAGATGCGCAACCCAAGGTCACGGATCCGCCTGTCATTAAGAAGAAGGCAATTCCCAAGGTCGCTGCACGACAAACTACAACGCCATCAAAAGTGGCAGAGAAGCGGCCGCGCGCGGAAGAGGAGACAACATTGGCGGTACCGCCCACTAAGCGACCCAGAGCAGGCTCAACCCAAGACCGGCCCATTACCCCTCTCCAAAACAGCCAGACGCAGTACGCAACCCCTAAGAAGGACCTTAAGTCGGTCAACATGTTACGAACCCAGTCTTCCGAGAGCAACGACGCAACGCCCGGTCGGTCTGGTGCCACCCCAGCCGGCGTGAAGCCTACATCTGCTCCTCTCAACAACAAGAAGCAGGCAGACATCTCGCTGCTTGGGCATACGTCGGCAAGGTGGAACCAGATGGGTAGAGCCCTTAAGCATGAAGCCACCAAGATCCTCACCAGCGGCAAGATTTCGAAACAGGATGAGAAGAGGGCTGCAGTTACTAACCTTGAGTGTATCCTGTAAGTCCACACCCTAGCACTCAGCCCAACTTCCCAGACACCATGAACTCCACTAACCCCACCCAGCGCCTACATGGCCGCCTACTTCGCCCAAGACCTCTCCCTCCACATGCGCGGCCGCCCCGGCGAAGTAGAACAAACCTGGAAAACGCTGCTCCCCCTCTGCCTCTCCTACTCGCGCAGCACAAAAGACCTCCAACACCTCGACGGCCTCCGCTCTTATCTCAGCTCCGTAATCGCCGCCGCAATCTGCACGCACGTCTCCCAGCGCTGCAACAACCCGAAGTCACACGACTCGCCGCAAGATGGTACGGGTCATAATAGTGGTAATACGACTGAAGCGTCCCGCCAGCACAACTCGCTCGCAGAAAACTTCGCACTCCTGTCTGATCACACGCTTAAAATGCATCGACACTACCAAGACGCGCGTATCGCGCTGCCGATTGAGGATCTGCAATCGATATACAAGAAAACGTATGCAGCAAGGGAGTCGAATGCGAGACTAGCCCGCGAACCG